CATTCCATGCTGGCTTATGGCGCCCCCTGCTGCTGGACCCCTGGAGGCCCAGCACAGTGGTGCAGAGGAGCCCCCCTCTAGGCAATTCTGTGTGTGAGCTCAGGAGTTATCACTGACTTCAGCCTTGTCTGGCCATTATTTGACATTGAGAAAAACACAGGTGATGGCCCTTCCCTGGCTCTGCTTCCTTCCTGCCCCCTTGCAGGGGCTGTTGTGGCTCCAGCCAAGATCAGACAAAAGAACTCTAAAATGCTGTTCATCTCCAGGGTGGGATAACACTTTCTGTTTTCAAAAAGCCTAAAGATGCTCCCTATGTCTGAATAAGCTTTGTGTATAGACTAGTCTTGTCACATGGTCACACAGGACCCCGGGAGTCAGGACAGGACCAAGAGAGGAAATCATCTGGGGCCTTGCTCATAAAGAAGCCTCAAACTCCACTGGGCTTTGATGCCAGGCCCCAAATTCTCTGCATCTTGCCAGCTTAAAGAGCCCAGGCAAGTAATGTTGTTCTGGGCCTCAGTTTCCCCAGCTGCAAGCTTGGAAAAATGTAGTAAATGGTGCTTGGAATTGTGAGGATTACACGTGCTCATGTGTGTCTACAGACGAGCACAGTGCCGGGTCCGTAGCGTTTGCAAGGAGTAATGAGCATCGACCACTCCATGTCCCCACCCCTGGCCACTGTTGACTCACAGCAGCCCAATGGAGGGGGGTCCAGTTGTGACCCTTGTTTTACCAATAAAGGAAACAGACGCGGCAAGCAGATGGAACACAGTTAAGGTCAATTAGCTAATATGTGATTGAACTAAGATTCAAATCCAGGCTGTTTAGAAGCTACACTCTTAATCATGACTATAATCACAGTGGTAATGACAGTAGGAATTATAGTTATTATTCCGAGAGACTGTGGAGCGCCTGGTCCCAGTGGTGGCAGGGTGAGGCCAGGCAGGCTTTGGGGATGGAAGGGCCAGTGACTCTGGGCTCACTTCTGTTACCTTTTGGCAGGGCAGGGTCATGGAGGAAGGGTAGGAACGGGTGGAAGGAGCTGCCCTTTTGAAAGCTTTCCCTTGGACGGTCTTGCTGCAGCTGGAGGAAGAGGACCTTGGGGTTCATGCTGGCACCTCCAAAGACCCAAGGCTGCTGCTTAAATTTGCTAGGCATATTTAAGAACCACCAGGACAGGGGGAGTTCCTGCCTTAGCACCACCACCCTCCAGCCCACTCCCAACTTTGTGCCCAGGTTTCTAGTTGCCTGAAAGCTGACTGCCAGGGTCAGAGCTTCTCAGCCCACTGGTCCCTACTGAAGGTGACCCCACCCCACCTCCAGTAGTGGAAGGAAAGAGCCCATTTCCCAGCACTACGGAGACCAGGGGTGGTGACTGGTGGGAGTGGTCCCCAGGCCCATTGTGTGGGGCTGATAAAGTGCGGAAGCCGAGGTCAGAATGGGAGGAAACCCAGCTCCCTGGGCCCTTTCCCACGGGTGGGGGCTCCAAGCACCGCTGAGCTAGGCTAGTGCAAGGGCAGCCTGCCTCTGTGGGACAGCAGAAGTGACATCAGGCCGCCGAGCTAGTGTGGGCACCATGGGCACTAAAGCTGGTGACCCAGACATCATCCTGGTGAATTTTCTGTTTTGGCGGGTAGCTGACACTTGCCTCTGATAGCATCAAAACAACTAAAAACTTTTTCAAGTTGGTAGAAGCAGCATATGTGCTCGGGGCTGGCTCCATACCACATGGGTGTGTCGTCCGTTCCCCCCTCCCCCCCGAGACACACACAAACACAGACACACACACAGACACACAGACACACACACAGACACACACACAGAACACACACAGACACACACAGACACACACAGACACACACAGACACACAGACACACACACACACACACACACACACACACACACACACACACACACACACGAGTTTACCGCTCTGGTGTGGCAACTGACCCAGGAAGGAGCCGGCCTTGCCTGAGCATTTCCTTGAAAACGGTCATCTTGGTACTTGAGTGTCTGCGCCCTCTGGTGGACAGGCCTGGACTTATAGAGGCTTATTCTTTTTTTTTTTTTTAATTTATTAAAGATTTCTGTCTCTTCCCCACCTCCGCCTCCCCTTTCCCTCCCCCTCCCCCAATGAAGTCCCCCACCCTCGTCAGCCCAAAGAGCAATCAGGGTTCTCTGCCCTGTGGGAAGTCCAAGGACCACCCTCCTCCATCCAGGTCTCGTAAGGTGGGCATCCAAACTGCCTAGGCTCCCACAAAGCCAATACGTGCAGTAGGATCAAAAACCCATTGCCATTGTTCTTGAGGTCTCAGTAGTCCTCATTGACCGCTATGTTCAGTGAGACCTGTAGGGGTGCACCCACACACTGAGACAATGGGGATGTTCTATCGGGAACTCACCAAGGCCAGCTGGCCTGGGTCTGAAAAAGCCTGGGTTAAAATAGAGGCTTATTCTTAAATGCTCTGTTTGGGCAAGGTACAGTGAGCTTCTGTTTACTCATGGACTTACTAGGAGGCTTAATGAGAGGAAGCTAGAGGAAGGGTATGAGGTGAGGAGGACGTGGAGAACACAAGGAACAAGGCCCTCTTGTGCAAGAGGCAGAGTCCAGGCAAATTCAGGGAGCTGGGACTGTAGACTCTGCAGGCTGCAGTAGACATAGGGAGGAAATTTGCTGCCCTGGATCCAACGGCAGTGAGGACGCCTAGGTGCGTTTTCCCAGTCTGCATCCTTCTTCTCGGATGTATTTGTGTGCTCCTACCATGCTGGCCATATGAAGGCAACCAGTCTGACTGAGGCTTCCTCTGGGAAACTAGGATCCAAGCTGAGGAGGGTTCAGACAAGTTATATTGGGCGTGATGGAGACATTCAAAAGACTTCCTGGTGACAGTGGCCTCTTAGCTGGATGAGGTCTCTCAATCTAGGTCTTACCTAAGCTGGATCTCAGAGAAAGGAGGGACAGGAGAGTCACCAAAGAATGGGGACATCAAACCAACTCTCCTGGGCATGGGCAGCGGAGGAGGCCTCTATGACAGGTGCCAGACTAGCTGACAGTGTGGCATCTGGTGTCAACATGGAACTTGTGCCGTGATGAAGACTCAGCCGTGTGACAGGATTTGGATGCTATCCCAAGAGCGCTAGGGAGCCCTAGAGTGCTTTGAGGTGAAGGGGATGCTCTCAGTCTCCTTGAGTGTCCTGAGCTAGCATCAGGGTCTTGGTTGTGGAAATGCTCACCTGGCAGCCAGGATGCCTGAGCCATGCTGTGCTTCTTCCAAGCAAACCAGGAAGAAGCTGCCAGCATGATCTGGGAGCTCTGCCAGGGATGGACAGGCTGCTGGAGTCCTGTGCCCTGAGTCTGAGCAGCAGCCCCTGGGTCCGCACACAGCACTGTATCTCTGTTTTCTCTGCAGATGAGTGGGACTGACCTTGGGGATGATGATGAAGCCTCCCGGAAGAGAAAGAGCAAAAACATGTAGGTTGGAAAGATCCTGATCATTATCCCTTACCTAGGAAGTCTCCTGGCATCTCTCTCATCTACCCCATACTACTCTCCTGGATGAGGGGGGGGGAGGCTGGATTGCACCCCAGCCCCACCCCCCCCCCTTGACAGATACTAAGAAGCAGTGAGATATTGAATGTCCAGGGGGAAACATCAGGACAGTGAGCATTTATTTTCTCAGAGATAGGCAGGAACTAAGTAGCCTTGGCTTGACCTGGCCTCCGAGCCAAAAAATGATGTAGAAAAGTCCTTGATACACAGAGCTGAACTGACAGTTCCTGAATATTATCAGTGCATGGCCAGCAGGGGACACTGTCGGTCCAGCTATGCTATACCATCCTCTAAGCTTTCTGGTCAGGCTGCCCAGGCTCTATTTCTGGTGCCAGTTAACAAGGTCTCTGGGTTGTTGAGGTATGGTGTGTGTGTGTGTGTGTGTGTGTGTGTGTGTGTGTGTGTGTGTGTGTGTGTGTGCACATATGCATGCTCTTACTAGGTTTCTCAGGCCCTGGAGACTGGAGGAGCAGAGTTGCAGGGAGTGATCTGTGGGGTCATGACCCCCAGAGGGAGGCCACCTTCCCTCCAGGTTCACTAGCATCCACAGATCAGAAGGAATTGAAACTGGGGGAAGAGGATGGAGTCTTCCCTAGCACAGACCTTGGCTGGAGCCCCCGCTGGTCTGTGAACCCATTTTCTCCAGCTTCCATGCCCTCTCCTGTTTTTAGTAACAGCAGTGGGCTTCTCTCAGTCTGCAGCCAGAGACAGCAAAATGTATGAGCAGCAATTGTCTGCACAGACACACCCCACTTAGCTGTAGTTTGTGGGGGTAAGGGTGGAGGGGGGCAGATACCCATTCACTACCAGAGCTGCTGTGGGGGTATCTCGGAGAGCATTGGGTGGTGCTGGAGGGTGGAACTCCCCAGACACACTCCTCCAGCCTCCTGTCAAAGTAGGTGTGGTCACAAAACTAAATATGCATAGAAGTTAAGTAAACCATCAAATATTCTTCATCTCTCCTTTCCCCAATTTTATAGTATTTACACTTTAGGTTGTTCAAACTTAGAACACCTGAGAGTTTGGGGACCTCTTCTGTGTTAATGGATGCCCCTCTCTGATGCCAGCAACAAGCTTGCAGGAGCTGGCAGGGAATCACAAACTAGGGGTGTGAAATTGAACAATGGGTTTTTAACCCCTTTTTTACCAACAGCTTCCTGAAGACTAAAATCTGCCTCTGGGAGGAGCAGCCTGGCTAAAAATAGTCAGTCCTGCCACCCTGGTGGGCAGAGTCTCCTTCCCTCCCGCTTTCCTGCCCAGCAATTTGCTGACCCCCCCCGTTGCCATGGTAACAGGGGGTGGGTCCCAAATAACTGGGTCTGGCTTTCTGCCTGGGGCTGGCCCCAGGGGCTGTCCTTTGCAAACACTTGCCCCTTTCACGCTGCCTCTCAGGGTTGGCCAGGAGGACTGTTTTTCTCTGCTTCCCCCCCCTGGTCCCTCCCATTTCCTGGCTCCGCCTGTCTGAGTCCCAGCCGGACTTGTGCCTGGAGTCCAGTCATCCCCGCCAGGATTCCAGAGAGAGAGAGAGAGAGAGAGAAAGAGAGAGAGAGAGAGAGAGAGAGAGAGAGAGAGAGAGAGAGAGAGAGAGAGAGAGAGAGAGAGAGNGAGAGAGAGAGAGAGAGAGAGAGAGAGAGAGAGAGAGAGAGAGAGAGAGAGAGAGAGAGAGATCCAGCCCTCTGCAGTCTGCACATTTGCCTGGAAGCCTAGGAACCCCGGGGGAGGCAGGAGCCTGAGGGGGCGCACTTCACATCATCCTGAGTCTCAAGGTGGGGGACTCTTGGGAGATGCTCCGAGGCATGTACCTCACGCGCAATGGGAACCTACAGAGGCGGCATACCATGAAGGAGTAGGTGCCCCTCACTCCAGTTTGCAGCCTACTGCACCCCAAGTTTGCAGAGATTATGTGTGCCACACTGATCAGCCCTCTTCTCTGTTTCTGCCCCCAGAGCCAAGGACATGAAGAATAAGCTGGCTATCTTCAGGAGGCGGAATGAATCTCCGGGGGCCCAGCCAGCCGGCAAGACAGACAAGACAACCAAGTCCTTCAAGTAGGTACCCTCTGCCATGTGATCACTGACTTTTAAAGAGAAGGATTGGACAGTGGGTTTGGGGAAGAGGCTTTGTTCACTGGATCCTACTATAAGGTGAGGGAAACTGTTGTTTTGGGGAGCCTGGTACCCAGCAAACAACCCCTTCTAGAAACTGCTGCTCTGGGAAGAAGGCCAGGCAGAGGTTGTAGGAGCTGGAAGTAGAGTTAGCTTCCCAGCCAGAGGACCTTACGCATTCCTACCCTCACCCCTCAGGCCTACCTCGGAGGAAGCCCTCAAATGGAGCGAGTCCCTGGAGAAACTGCTGCTTCACAAATGTGAGTAGGGACCGGCCACTCTGCCTCCCTCTTGCCTTCTTATCACCCCGCCCTCTTCCCATAACTCAGCCTAGAGAGTGCCCCCCAGAAGTGCCTTCACTGTCTCCTGGTCCCAGTCAGGTGTTGCTCTTGTTAGACAACAGCGGGGCACACACTAGGGCCCTTAGTTTGGCCTTTGGGTTGGCTCCTGCCAGCCTCTCCCTGCCTGTGGGAACTGGCCCTGCCTGCCAGAGGCTATTGGGACCTGTGTGCTCAGACCGTTTTCTCAGAATAAGGGCAAACATTTTCATGTACTGAGGGTTCACACTGGGCCGAGCATGCCTGTCACCTCTGGGGCAGGATCCCTCTGGATCTCTCATGACTTCAGGAGATGGTTTGGTTATCCTTATTTTACAGAGGCAGACCCTGAGGCCTAGGTAGGGGTAAGTCAGCCAAGGCTCCAAGCAAGACATTCCCAGGGCTGGGACCATGTCCCAGGGCTCTGTTGTTCTCCAGGGCTGGGGACTTTCGCTGAGTTCCCAGCATGTCCACTCTCAAGGTTCTTGGAAGGGGGCACAGTGTGCGGAGGGGCTAAGGGCAGGCAAGGCTGGCTGTGCCTCTCACCCTGGCCTGGTCTTCTCACAGATGGCTTAGAAGTGTTCCAGGCCTTCCTTCGCACTGAGTTCAGTGAGGAGAACCTGGAGTTCTGGCTAGCTTGCGAGGACTTCAAGAAGGTCAAATCACAGTCCAAGATGGCAGCCAAAGCCAAGAAGATCTTTGCTGAATTCATTGCGATCCAGGCTTGCAAGGAGGTAAGACTTTAGGCTGTGACCTTGGGTCTTCAGTTCCCCTTGCCCAAGAGCCTTTCTGCTGCTAGGAGGCAGCCAGCAGCTCAGGAAGGGAGGAGGCCGGAGGGACCTTTAGTGTCTAGTTTGCCAGGTGGACTAGAGAACAGGATGGTAGCCCGTAGCAGAAATGGCCTGGCTTGGCACTGCTGTGTGCCAGACATATGCTGGGCTCTTTATGTATGAATGCCCGTGTTTAGTTTTATGATGGCCTTTCAAGCAACTCTGAATGTTATCCTTATTTTAAAAACGCAGAGTCTGGGCTTGGGTAACTGCTCAGTTGGTCAAGTGCTTGCCTTGAAAGCATAAAGGCCCAAATGGCACCCGCGGAACCCATATGACAAACAACCAGGTATTGTCAAGAGCAGACGGAATGGCTTGCTGGCTAACAGTGAACGCCAGTTCCATGAGAGATCCCATCTTCCCCAAGGAAAGGTGGATGGCATCTGAGGAACTGCCACATGCAAGCGTGCACACAAACACCCAGAGTCAGTCACACACGAAGTGAAGAGGGTCTTAGAGAGCCTGCCGAGACGTCATTCCCACCAAGTGTCCGCTGTGTGTAGGCACTCAGGCGTGGTCCTCACAGGTCTGAGGAAAGCACCCTCTAGCCTGCATGTAGAAAAACTGAGGGACAACATCCCTGAGTGCTTACCTCAAGGTTTTTAGGCCTCATAAATTCTTCTACTCAGACTGAATCAGGTCTTGGGTCCCTTTGTAATGTCATGTGGTATAGAAGAGGCTGCAGTGGCCCCACTGTTTCCTTGGTTCTTGGCCTCCAGACGAGCATGTTCCTCTGTGACTCCTCAGGTAAACCTGGACTCATACACACGGGAACACACCAAGGACAACTTGCAGAGTGTCACCCGAGGTTGCTTTGACCTGGCGCAAAAACGCATCTTTGGTCTCATGGAAAAGGACTCATACCCTCGCTTCCTCCGCTCTGACCTCTACCTGGATCTCATTAACCAGAAGAAGATGAGTCCCCCACTCTAAGGACCACTAGTATCCAGCTCAGTGTTCACACCAAGCGGAGCGGGCTCCCTGCCCACCCGCGTCCCTCCCTTGTGACGGAGGGGGCAAGCAAGCCCCCAGAGGCTGTGTCTCAAGACAGACAGATGGACATTTGGATTCGAGGCCTGGACTGAGAGAGACCCAGGCCCCTACAGGAGTAGGAGGACAGGCTGCATCAGGTTCTTAATGCCCTGGTACGAGGGGACCAAGGGCCCTGGCAGGTCAGGGCCCTGGTGGCCAGATCAGGAGCTGTGGCTCCATGCTTTGGAGATCTGGAGACTTCACACTGACCAAGTTCCTTAGAGAACTGGCTGTGTGGGAAGGGGACAGGAGGCCCAGGCCTGGGCTCTAGCCATCCTGAGGGCTATTGGGGCTCACAGCTCAGATCCTCCCCAACTAAATTTTATTTATTTAAACCGTAGTTGGATGCTTGGCACATGAACTGTAATAGGAGACCCTCTCCCTGTTGGTTTCCTTAACTTACAAGTGCAATATCTTAACCAATGCCTTGTTATCGCCACCTGTAGGGGTGGCCTTCATCTTACAGTTTCAGGGCATCTGCTGGTCCCAGGAACCAGTGGTGGCAGCTGGGCCCTCTAGATTGACAAGGCCTTGGGGGGGTGCTGCAGAAATCTGGCACCCCCTAGGTGGGTGTCCCTCAAGAAATCTGGGAAGGCATAGTGCCCTCTGGCCACAGAGTAACGAGTGCTGGAACAAATAAACGGCCTGTGTTATTCTCATTCTTGGTCTTCTCTGTGTGTTCCTGGTCTGGAGACTTCATGGTGGCTGGGCTGGGAGACCTGTTATCCCAACAGTTCCTTTCTTGCTACCACCTGTTGACCACCCTGAAGACAGACTACTTCACCCAGCAGGGTGCTTCCTCAGGGGGGCTACATGCCTCTGGGGATCTTGGCATCTTTCCTTGCTTTTCTCAGCTGAGGACAGTGAAATGGTGACTTGGGTAAGGTCCTTAGGCAGCAGGTAACAGACAGTCTAACCAAGTGAAGCCTGATTGGCCCTGGGATGGCAGCTCAGCAGGGTGCCCTAGCTGCCTGTGCGGCCTAGTCCATCCATCTGGCCCTGGGATGGATTAGAGAGAGGTGAATAGGGCCAGGGTCTCAGGTGTGGCGGCGGCAGTCACTGCTGTCTCTAATAGAAGGAAGAGCAGAAGAGGTACAGAAAGTAGGACTCCAGAGTTCCTCTGAGGGCTTGGCTGGGTCTCTTCCTTTGTGTCTTGTGTAAAAAGATACAAATGTAGAAAAAGCCTGCTAGAAAGGAATACTCTTGCCTAGACAGGGCAGCAGAGGGCCCGGCACTGGAGCCAAGGTGATACCCAGGCAGGCCCCGAAGCCTGCACATATGGCTTCATGAGGCGTGAGACTCAGATGAATCTTGATAGAACTGGCATATGAAAGTCTGGACAAAACCCCCTACATCCTTTTCGTGCCTAGAGTCCTGGGCTCAGGTCTGTCCTGCAGGGGGCTGGAGATGCACATGACATGGGCCTGGCTGTCATTCTCTTCTCTGCCGTGCACAGGGAGGAGATCAGAGCTGGTAATCTCCATCAGCAAGCTTGGGATCTGAGCCATACAGGATGCCTGGGCAGACATGTGTTGGAGAGGGTCCACGGTCCTACTCCTGTTGCCAGGAGTGTGTGAGCCAAGCACCTGACTTGGACTCCTGCAAAGGCTACACCTCGGGCTTGTCTTTGGGACTTCCCCTTTAGACACTATTCGAATCAGGTGTGGTTATCCTGTCTCCAAAGGCTGTGTTGGTGGTGGATGATATACAGCCTCAGGTTTGAAGCCTGCTGTTGGTATTGTCTCACTCTGTGATGCTGGCCTGTCGCTGTGGGGCCCTGGACCATGCGTGGAACAGGAACCCCATACATGTTAGTAGACATGTTGTTCCTCCTGGAGAGTGCTGGGTCTTCTTTCCTTTCCCACCATGGAGCCTCACTATGGCTGACTACTTGAGAAGTTTCTAGCTGAGAGCAAGGATATTTCTCAGGCTTCCTCCAGCCTGAGTTGGAGGACCTGACACCCGAGGACTCCAAAGTTACTTCTTGTTCCTCCAAATGATTCAAAGCACAGCTAGGTCAGAGCTTAGGACCCCAATGTCCCCGCTTGGCCTGACTCCTTTGTGGCATCTTGTGCTTGGAAGAGCCCCTGGCTACACACAGAGATTCACCATCTTCTTACGTGGGATTGATTCAAGGGATACAGCCACGAGCCAGACCCTTAACCTTCCAAACTCAACTTGTCATGGAAACCAAAGTCCAGGAGAACAAAGTCAGGCAGATGGAATTCCCATTTCAGAAGGCCAATTGCCTGCTTTCCATGACTCATGCGTGCCCTGGCGCCTTTGGCAGTGCACAGCCCCTGGAGGCCGCTAGGTTCTCCTGTCCTGGCCCCACGGGGACTCCCCAGCAGGTGTCTATGGGTGTCTGGGCAGACCCTCCTACCTAGCTCGGCTTTATCGCCCTCTCCTGTTTAGGACCAGTTCCTTGTTCAGCAGTCTGGGCCAGGCAATTTGGATCTCATTCTGGGAAGACCGTTTTTGCACATCCTCTCACTCAGCCAGGAAGACAGAGGCAAGCCAAGGCCCTCGTTCAGTGAGGGCATGGAGTCAGCCTCTCTCTGTCCCTAGCTCTGCTTCCTCCTAGTCCTGTCTTGGAAATCCTTTGGTTGTGTCCTAAGGCTATACGTGGGGTCACTAATGGGTGGTCGTGGCATGGTATGTGTCCTTAAACATAAGCTGTTATTGGCAATAGTATTTGGGCTCTAACTATACCTGAGAGAGTGAGGAGCTTTTCTTCTCAGGCCCCTAATCCTTGTGTAGCTGGAAGACACAGCCAACATGTTCCCATGAGTAATTCAGAGACAGCCTGTCCCTTGCGTGGCTGTCCAGCCTTGACCTCAGCTCGAAGGGTGAGTGGGGAGGGCACAGCAGTTGCCACTCTACTGGGTGCCTACGCCAGCTCAGTGGCTGAGTCAAAGCCCTCTTGCTCAGGCTGGTATGTAAGCAACATATTTTCCTGTCCTATCCTGGCCTGGGACGTCCAGTGTCCCTAAGCTCCTCCAACCTGCAAGAAACCAGCCGGCCCAAGCTGCCAGCCAGTGTTGGGCCTTTCCTGGGTTTCTGCTTGCATTTCTTCCCTGACAGGAACTTCGTTATTTCCTGAGGGGGTGTGGGAGGGCCTGAGAGCTGTCCATCTGATGTCAGGATCCTGAAGCAGGTCATTGGTAGCCTGTGAGGGGCTCTACGCAGAGACTCTCTGGCTCTAAGTTCTGAAATATCTCTCTGCCCCTTATCCCCACCCAGCTCTCGGGCTCCAACACCATGGCCCTAGGCCTGTTTCTGCCTAGAATTCTGGACCCTTTCTTAAGCCACAGACTCTGAGCTCAGAGACACACCTTGTTTGCTGTATTTTGCTTACAGTTGGCAACATCTCCAGAACATCTGCTTTGCCTGTCCTCTCCTTGATTGAGCTAGGCAGGAAGAAGAGGTTCCCAAACCTCCTGCCACATTAGTACCCTGGGGAAAAGCTGTGGGGCTGTTTGAGGCCAGTTCAAAGAGAGGATATAGTCAGTGAGGGATGGAAGGCCAGGCTGCAGATGGGAAGAAGAGTTCCCTCTACTCAAGGTATGCATTGGACATGGTGTGGTCCATGCCCGTCCCCACCCATCCTCACAGCAGCCTGGGGCAGGAGCTAAGGAAGTGAAGGTTCTTGGAATGCGAAAATCCATCTTGCTGCTGGCGGTACTGGGACCTTAGTTCCTAATCCCCAAACCCCACCTCACTCAGAGCGGGTGGGGGGCAGTACTGGGACCTTGGTGAGGCAGCTCAGTCTGCAGTCCTCTGAAAGACATGGAGAAAATGGAGCAGGGCCGCAGAGGCACCAAGACTGTTGGCTTGGTCTGGGCCGAATGTTTGCTTTTCCTCCTTAGAGTTTAGTGCATTCCATGCCAGGACCAAAGTGGCTAAGAACAGGACCTTTGGAGGAGAATGGACCGGGGTTGAACCAGGTTCCTGTACTTCTGTGCTGTGTGACCTTGGATAAGTCACATCACCTCTCTGAAAAGAGCATGACAATAGGTCTCAGCAGCAGGAGAGCAAGTGTAGCTTCCGTGCAGACGGCTGCCTGCCTTCCATCCCACAGGCTCTGGGTCGATTTCTGCTCAGGGCCTTTGGATACATGGCTTCCCTGCCTGGATGTGCCTCCCCCTGCTCCTTAGTGTGGCACTCAAGATCGCACAGCTGACGTGGGCAAAGGCTTAACTTGCAGGGCTTTTCTGTCAGCTGCAAGTGTCATGGAGCCAAACCTAGAGCCTGGCCGTGGCAGCTCACCCACTTAGTGGTATAGACTCAGGCCAGTCACTTCCCTCTCTTGGCCTCAGTTTATGCGGGGATGGTGCTGACCCGGCATCACAACAAGGCACTGGGGACGTGCTGGCAACAATGACCAAAATCTCTAACTTCTCAGTAGGAAAAGGACTCAGGAAGTGGAGGCAGGGAGGCTCAAGAGTTCAAGGCCAGTCTTGGCTTACCAGCAACTTCCAGGTTAGACTGGACTACATGAAATCTTGTCAAAAACAAGCAAGTAAAAGCAACTCCAAACCCCCAAAGCAAACAAAACATGAGGCACACAGTCCATCTTGCTCTTGGGGACACAGGAAAGAAGAGCTGGGCATGATGGCTCCAGGACCTGTGCTTTTGAGTTCAAGGCTGTGTTCCACCCTTCAGACCCTACTTCTCTTCACGAAGATTTCCTGGGCAATAATATCCACGAGAGACCTTGTGTCTGCTCAAAGATGCCTGGTGACTCCTCCTAACCTGTCACAGGTTCTAACTGCCTGTCCCTATGGGTTCCTTTTGTCACTGCCTCTCCCTTTCAACAGTAAAATCTTTGGGGATGGGGTCCCCCTCTGTCTCATTCCTCATTGCATCCCCAGCCTTACCACAGGGTCTGCCATGTAACCAGTGCTTAGCTGGGGCCTGTTTAATGTCTGGGCACAGGGCTCAGGATGTGGACTGAGGACAGGGTCAAGCTAAGAAGCCACCGTGGGAGACAGTTTGTCTTGAATCATAGGAGCCCGAGTTTAGAAGTCATGTAAAAAGTCGAGTGTAGCATGCATGCTTGTTACCCCAGCACTGGGGAGGTAGAGGTAGGCAGATCCCAGGGACTCACTGGCCAGTTCTGGTCAGTGAGAGACTATCTCACAAAACAGGCGATCCACACTTAGGGAGTGTCACCTGGGGTTGACCATGGCCTCCACTTGCCCACACTCTGCAGACAGAGCTTGAGTTCTACTGTGAGTTACAGAAACATAGACACAAAGGAGACACCCATAGCCCAGGACTGGCACGGTGATCCTGAAGGCCTTCTGTTTGCTGCTGTAGCTCCTAAAAACGCAGCTTCTGCCCACAGTCAAAATGCCGGCCAGAGCTCCAGCCATCTGGGAGAAGCGAGGGGACCAGGAACATGGGCAAAAGCTGCCCCAGATTGTCACATGACACTCTTGACCTTAGTCACATGGCCACACTGAGTTAGAAGGGAGTCTGGAAATGTGGACTTAGTTTAGAAAGCAACATGGCCAGTTTAAAACAACAACAATAAACAAACACATAAAAAACAGACATTTTATTACTCTGGGACTCTGAAGTAACCTGAGGGTAGAACAGATATTGAGGGACAAGCAGCTGTCTGTCACCCGCCAATGGCAGCCGCCCATTCATT